TCCGCGACACATAACCACCACTACATATAAGGTGGTGGTGGTGGTGGTGGTTATGTACCATGGAGTCAGTTTCAACTCATAGTGACCCTGTACAGGGTTTCCGAGGCTGTAAATCTTTACGGGAGCAGAAAGCCTCATCTCTGTAATGGAGTGTGTAATTTCTACTACATAATAATAATTTTCTATTCAAAAGCCCACACTCTCTTTCTCATTAATATTCTACTTCAGGAACTGGTTTTGCAGACTCTCCAAAGTTTCAATTCTCTGACCCTGACACTCAGGAACTTTCTCCATTTTCTGTCACCCTTCATATGGTATGACCTCCATAGAAAATATTTTAGCAAAGTGTTCAACTGATAAAAGTTTAAAGGCTAAAAAATGATGATTCTAAAGTGAAGCAGTACATCGTCTTGAATTTAAAGGCTGTTCTGTGTTCACTGATTTCCACAATCACTCTGAATGATACATTGGGAAAAAAAAAAAAAAAATTCTGATCACTCCCAATAATCCCATATGTTTCCAGAAATCATTAACAGACCTATTAATCGAACTTTTCAAAACTGCCTAATATTGCCTAGATGGCAACTAGATAGCCTTCTAGATTTTCTCTTTTCTAATAAGAGAGACTCCTGGTGTGGTGCTGTGGGCTAATGCATCAGAATGCAAAGTTGTTTGAACTGCAAGGTCGGTGGTTCAAGCTCATCAGCTGCTCCTTGGAAATGCTATACAGGGTCGCTATGGGTTGGAATCAACTTGACGGCACTTAATAACAACAACAACAACAATGAATAAGAAAGATGAGCCTGTGCTAAGGCATTCTTGGTAGACTTTACAATGAAGATCAGATTTTATAATGAAGGGTAAGATTCCACTCTAAAACTGGACTTGAAGTGGAAGAGGAAATTTTCCAGGAGGCGGAGGGTAGGGTAATTACCACAATTAAGAAAGCTGAGGAGGAAAATGGACAACTGGGAAAACCAGTAAAGTATGACTATGCTAGCAACCTTAAGAAAAGATATCACAGAGAATGGACCCGAAATGGCCGATAGTGGGTACCCTGATGTGCTGTTTTGATCCTCTTCAGTAATGGAGGGTTTCACTCCAATGGTCTAGATAGACAATCATGATGAGCCGCTCTCATTCAATGACTGTTTAATAACAGGCTGTAAAAGCTTGGGGTCCTGGTGTGGTGTAGCAGGACAAGCACTGGTCTTACTCTCACAGTGAGAGCTGGCATTGTCACTAGATACTGTTTGTTTCCTCTCATCCAGTTTTTCGAGCAAAGGAGGAAGAGGGAAACAAGGTGTGTTTCTGTGTGCTAGATAAGGTGGAAGAATGCTCAGAAAGAACCCCTTATTTAAGAATATTAATAAGCCAGGACTTTAGTGAGAAGAGGGTAAAGGGAGAAAACTAGCAAACAGATATAGGAAATGCAGTCAAATATTTTTAGGAGAAAAATGTCTTTAGAACTTTCTATTACCTGGACAGTAAATTTTAGAATTACTGAGAAGATGATCAATATTCTTACCACTTTAATTCTTTTGAAAATCTGAGTGAGCTCTTAATCTGACCAACCAGCCTTTTAGTGGTTCCTGATGATGTTCAGTAGAGCTTCTTTATCTTCTTTTTGCTTCATTAATAAATCTGCCATAGGATTTTGTGGCTGCGATGCACTTCTTAAAATGTTGACACGATAGATTTATTTTAAACAATCGTTTATAGATTAGCTGCTAGGAAAGAGAACATTATTGCAAATAGATGAAACCAACTAAGAATACAAGAGATACAGGCTTCTTAAAGCATTAACAAGATCAGAGAAATACGTAAAGAAAGCTACATGGCACTGGTGGTATAAACTCAAAAGGACTCAGAGCATCCAAATCCTGCAGAAACTACCGGCGATTTGCTTGTGAGAGATGTAACTCACGGGATCTGTTATTTTGGCCCAGCGTCCTAATTCCTCTGCTGTAGCTTCCAACAAAGCCAGGCATGTTAAGTGAGGAGAAAGGGAGGAGGAACCACGGCCATTTAATGGCCACAGTAGCCATGGGATGTAGCTGCTGTCAACTCCATTGTACAGATAACTAAATTGAGGTTCAGAAGCATTTAGGAAATCATTAACTGTGGGGGACCCAGCTGGGATTCAAACTCCAATCTTTCTAGTTCCAGAGTCATGCCTATGCTGCTTGCCTTGAGAATCTCGGGGTCCACAGCTTTTCTGAGAGACAGCCCAAGTCCTCCACCAACAGTTTTGTCCTGGACAAAGACCTTGCTGGAGAGGCCCATGTTCAAAGGGGGTGTTTGTGCAAAGTTTCTGAGCATGTGGATGGATACTGAGTTTCCTAATAAGTAACTGAGGAGAGGCTCCTGGGAGAGGCTAGTCACCCTTCTGTGATAGCCACTTAAGGATATGAACTGCAGTCACTCATAGCAGATAGGCAGAGCCACTTGACCTGAAGCTTTAAAAATAAAAGCAGTTCTCAGCCTTCCCAATTAGAAACTGTGGGAACATTGGCTTGACAGTTGTGATTGGTCATATAGTTGCTGTCGTTAAGTGCCGTCAAGTTGATTCTGACCCATAGTGACCCTGTATAGGGTTTCTGAGGAGTAGCTGACGAGCTTGAACCACCGACCTTACACTTAAAATGGCTTTGCAGCCTGGCACATTAACGCACAGTGCCACACCAGGACTCCGAAGCGTATAGAATGTGCAGCCAGGCTGGCTGTGTTGAAATTCCAGTTGTACCTCCCTCTACCTATATGACTTAGTTAAATTATTTGACTTCTCTGTGTCCCTATTTTCTCATTTGTTAAATGGGTAGAACACTCTTGGCTCATCTCAGAGAACTATTCTGAAGAACAAATGAGTTTGATACAAGCAAGCATTTCCACTGTTTGGCACACCGCAAGTGTTCATAAAATGAACTATGTTTAATATGTACACTTCTCTCTTTCAGAACTTTTGGTACGAATAAATAAAAGCCTATGCATGCAACTACCCTAAACATGTTTGGACTCTGAAAACATAAATGTAACTTTGTAAATAGGAATATTATAGGTAGCCATGGGTCCTGGATTCAGACTTTTCCTGTAGTCATTTCTCCACATCACTTCCAATCCCCATGAGCACTTAGTGTCAGCCACCTCTAGTATGTTTATAGTGACCAGGACAAGGGGTTACATTTCTGTCTGCCCTTGGAGGACCCCATCGAGTGTGGATCATGAATGGTAATGGATGACATCAGATTTTCTTAAATTAAAATTAATTTCTGGTTAGATTTAAAGTGAGCAAAAATTACTCCTTTCTAGTTTAGTTTTCTGAGCTTTCCAAAAAATCCAAACCCACCGCTGTCAAATCAACTTCAACTAATAGTGATTCTGTAGGAAAGAGTAGCAAGGGGCTCTGGTAGCATAGTGGTTATGAATAGAGCTGCGAACCACAAGGTCAGCGGTTCAAAATTACCAGCTGCTCCCGTAAAGATTTATAGCCTCAGAAACCCTGGACAGGGTCGCTATGAGTCGGAACGGACTCGATGGCACTTAACAACAACAAATATTTATGGGAGCAGACTGCCTCAGTTTTGTCCTGCGAAATATTTGGTGCATTTGAACCGTCAACCTTTTGTTTAGAAGTCCAATACTTAATCTACTCCATTACAGGGTTTCTTTTCTGAACTTCAGCAGATATCAAAGATTAGCTTTTGGTATGAATGATCAGTTGGAAAATATGAATGGAGATGAATATATATGACTATGCTTTTATATATTTAATTCTGCAGGAAGCAAGCTAAACAAATCCAAGAGCAACTGAAAGAGACACATAATGGTAAAAACTACAGTCTCAAAGCATCCAGCACAATGGCAAAGTCAGAGACCTTGGCGAAGAGCCATGTCCAGCTGCAAAATGTAAGTTACATGTCTATCTATCCCCTCCCACAGTCTGCCTGAATTCACCTGGCCCAAAGGAGCCGGGGCTTGCAACCAAACTTGTGTATATTCTTATCAATGCCTTTAGATGTGTATGTGTGCATATGTGTAAGCGTTTAGATGGAAGAGAAAGGTGAAATATCAATTCTCAATTACCATTTGTAATATAAATTATTATTTGGTAACAGTAGGAACGTCAGTTGTTTTCTGAGTCCTTTTTATGTGCCAGAAATTATGTCAGGCACCATAGAGACAGTGCTCTCTGCCCTATGGAGAGCTAAGTTATAACAACAGACCTAGCAGAATTGTGTAGACAGAGATAGCTGATGTTGCAGTAGAGGCAGGGGTAGGAGGGAAAATCTGGGGTGCCAGGGCAGACCTGGAGCTTCTTCACAACAAAGTCAGACTTGAATTGGGGTTTAAAAGATAAGAAAAGCTCACCACAAAGTTAAAACACTGAGAGCAAGCGACTAGAAAGAATAAAAGGCATACAGCCATGCAACACTGAAAAAATGATTCTATGTTCAGACAACTCCCAGGTGAAGAAGGGAATCCAAGGTGATAAATGTGGTCCCAGGACTCATTCTTTCTAGTTTCCTTAAATGTGCATTGGGGGCACTGGTGGTTAGGTGACAGAATAGTCATCTTCCATGAGGGAGACCTGGGTTCGATTCTTAGCCAATACACCGCATGCCAATACAACTACCATACATCTTCCAGAGAAAGCTTGAACGTCACTATGATGTGAAATAGGTTTCAGCAGAGCTTCCAGACTGAGATGATCTAGGTAGAAAACCCTGACAGTCTGCTTCTGAAAACCATGCAAATCACAATGGGCTGACCAACAACTGATCCTGGGCATGGCACACAGAGCTGGTCAGGATTGCATTCTGGTATGCTTGGAATAGCCATGAGTCAGAGGTCAACCTGGCAACAGTTAACCATAACAACCAAGGTATACTAGAATTTCAGATGTAACCAACTGTTTGATTCCTATGTTCTCTGTAGTTTTAGTCATGTCTGAGCTATACAAGGGTAAGTCAATAAGGATTGCTACTAGGATTCCAGTTCATACATGCATCTGTTTATTCTCAACAACATGTGTTTGAAAATGTCTGCAATCAGTGGATGGTTACAGACAAGTTCTTGAAGTAATGACACTTAATCTTAGTCTTGTTAGGGTACCATCAAAAAGAAGAAAGAAAGAAAGAAAGTGTTTATTACCAGGGAACAAAATGATTCTCAGGTCAGAGCTAATATCAAATTGTAATCAAAAGTCAAGTGAACATCTTCCCAAGTCTTTGAAACTATGCAACAAGATGATGGGAATATTGCCCACATAAAAAAAAAAAAGTTTTTAAAGGATCACGTGTTTTGATGGAGGCCAGGAAGACTTCAAAGATAAGCTGAGAGAGGGAAGACTTTCAGCCTCAATGAATGAAGAAACTGACTTAAGTCCAGAGACCGGAGGAAGATTGTGGCATTGCTACTGATGTGATGGCTGCTGACATGATCTCATGTTTTAAGCAAATACCTTGGCCTCCACAGACTTGACCCTATGGATGCCAAAAGTATTGCATGAAGATCAACTGACTCAAAGAGCTGATCAGTCTTTTAAGCAAAAGAGTGATAAATAAAGTTAATGAAGACAGCTTTATTGAACAATCTTGAATTTACCAATACAATCTAGACAAGTTCCATTCAAAACAGTGCCATCTGAGGGGATCTGCTAGGCCAATTAAATTTAAGATAGCGAAGTCAGCTCAGAAGGTTATGGCAACTTTCTTATGGGATTCCAGAGTAATCTTAATAGATTTGTGCAAAGGGCACAGGATGATCATGGGGTTTATTAGAAAGTTTTTAGAAAGTTGAAAATTCTATTGGTAGGAAAAAGGTCAGGGAAATGACACCAAGAACATTTTTTCCCCTATGATAACAATGCACTTGCTCATTCTTCAAGACTACCAAGCAGTATCCTATAAGAATTTTGCTGGGAAGCCTTACCCCAGCCATACTACAGCCCTGATCTTGCACCTTAAGACCTCTTTCTGTTCCCCAATTCAAAGAACACTGAAAAGATACACAATTTGAGATCCCTCAAGGTTGCCAAAAGTATAGTTATGAAGTGATATAATTCAAAGAAAAATAATTCTTTGTTGTTGGTTGCTGTTGTTAAATGCTGTCAAGTCAGTTCAAACTCATAAAGACTCACTACAGGGTTTCTGAGGAGTGGCTGGTGGGTTTGAACAACCCCAGCAGAACCGTGGGAAGGTTAGAAAAATAGAAACACTGTCTTCAGAAGTACATAGACCTAGATGGAGACTACATGGAGAAACAATAGCTTCGCAATTTAATATTTTTGTTTAATAAAGGTTTCTTTTATTTTGCTGCAATACATTTTCTCCTTTTTCTTTTCTAAATTGTGAACTGAGTAATAGTTTACATGAAAGAACATCACCTTTACACCATCGTTTCATTGCAATGATTACAATCTCCTCTGTGCTTCCATTACTGGTTTGGTTTTGTTTCACTTTGGGATGTGTACACAGAAACACTCAGGAATATATGATGTAAATAACCGAAGGGCACATACTGCAGGCCTGCCTCCTAGCTGCCAGCACCTCTCTTTCCATGAGACCAAAGTCCTCAGCTGCTCCCTCTCTCCATGTCCTCATCTCTGCCTCCATCTCTGGTATTGCTGCTTCTCTGGATAGGGTCCCACACTCTGCTTGTGTTCTTCTATCTTGATGGTACTAGGGTCCTCTGTTTCTGTACTGTAAGATTAACTATGCCCCCATTTTTGTTACAAAGCTACTCCCTTTACAGTTGTAGCAGTCACAACTGGTCATGATAACAATTTCTCACTATTGAATCATAAGAATCTTTTTTTTTTTTAAATAAATGTTTTATTGTGAATTATGTGATAGTCTACATGGGAGAACATTAGTTTTACATTAATTCTATCATACATCATTTCACATAGTTACCATCCTGTCCATGCATCATCACCCAACCAAAGGGTATACACTGCAATCCTCCCACCCACCCACCTACCCACGGTCCTCAGCACACAGCCCCTTTCCCTCTCTGGATCTCAAATCCCCAGCCACTCCATCTCTTCACGTCATCTTCTCTGCCTCCGTCTCAGGCCTCACTGCTTCTCTGGGTAGGATCTTGTTCTCGGCTCTTCTCCATTGATGGTCCCAGGGCCCTCCACTCCTAGACTGAAAAGTGAATCACTCCCCTCCTTGCTATAAAATGTCCACCTTTACATTTCCAACCCTCACAATCAGTCCTGATAACAAGTATTCACTATTGCATCACAAGAG